CATGTGTCCACTGAATCATTTTTAAAATCTCAGATGGATATAAGGATGTTAGTAATATTTTCTTGTTTCTTAAAACATTTTATTTCAACCAGGAAATTATTTCATTATTACTCATCAGTTATTCTAAGCTATGCTAAAAGAAATAGGGCTGAAATAGTAAGAAAAATGGAAGAGTGATGGGATTTCCTGGGGCAGACGTTAACAGACATTTTTTATGAATGGTCAGATAGTAGGTATTTTTAAGGTTTTGCAGGCTTCAAATGGTCTGTATGGCATCTTATTCTTTAAACAACGTGTGTGTGTGTGTGTGTGTGTGTGTGTGTGTGGTGTGGTTTGGTGTGAGAATCCAGGGCTTTCTCACTGAGCTGTAGAAAGCACATCTGTACTCCCAGCACAGTGGGAGACTGAGGCAGGAGGATCACAACTTTTAGAGCCAGTATAGGCAACTTAGCCACATTGTAAGACCCTGTCTTAAAATAAAAGAGGCTGGAAATATAGCTCAGACCTTGGGTTCAGTCTCTACTTGTAAACAATATCGACTATAAAAAACCTCTTTAAAAACTTAAAAATCATTCTTAGCTCCCAGTTTATACAAAAATTGGTTGTGGGCCACATTTGGCCTGTAGACCTGTATTTGTCATTGCATTAACATAACTTCTGCATTGCACTGTTCAGAGTATTCCATCTTTCTTGAAATATAAAAGGGGACATCTTTGTGGTCGGCTTTTAGCTTTTAAACAGTATATAGAATTTACATTTTTTCATGTTTGTAATGGCAAAGAAAAAATTGACAGGAAATTATTAGACAAATCAGAAAACAAATACAGAAAGATATTCAGTACTGAAAGGTGGTAAAATTGCTCATAGAAGGAAAGTCTCAGGTTATAAATCTTCAGGTGATTACCTCATCTGAATTTTCCCAACTAAATAATTGATAATTGAACAGTGTATTTCTAAGGACCAAATGAAAATGTGGTATTTGACTTAGTCATTTAGGAAGAAAGAATTATGACAGTATTTTGTAACAGCATCTTCAATAGGTGGTAAAAGGATGGGTGCTGGTATTTATCTCATATTTGTGCTTCAGATTTGAGTGTATATGGTTTGTAAATGGACAGATGCTAAAAGTGGATGTGCATACAAATGTGACTGAAAGAAGGTAGGTGTAGAACTGAAAAAAAATCACTGGGGTTGAATGTCAGTATAAAATGTTTTTGCAAATTATGGTCACACAGTATGAACATTTTTAGTTCAACAAATTACAAGCCACTAAAGGTTTCAAAATTTCAAATTTCCAAGTATTGCATTTTGATAGTACAGATGCCAAAAGAACAAGATGTAACCATAAGCTAGAACCTATTAAAAAATCTCACTTAAAAGGTTTATAAGATGGATATGTTCTATGTTCATCCTTAATGGTTGAACAGTTGTATTTAAAGAGCATAATGTATTTCAGCTGTATATGTAATTTAAAAATAGGGAACATGTAGAATTAAATATGAGTTTGCTGCATTTTAAATACTAAAATTTTAGTAAGTTTTTTCAACATCTTTTTCTTGTAGGATTTCTTTGAATTATGCTTTGCATGTACATGGAGGAAGGATACTTTGAAAAATAGTCTAAAAAAGTAGCAGCTGCATTTACTATTAGAATGTTGTTGAGAATTTGATCTAATATACATTTTGTTTTTAAAGATTGTACTAGATATTTTTCTTGCTCTGCTGATGCTTTTTAAATTTTTTGACAATGATGTACAATGTAACTGATCACGTTTAGGTCATGAAATGAATTCAGATACAAAATAAATACCAACTGTAAATATGTGTATTATTTTCTCATATTTCTTCCTAGTATTTTATTTCAAGGTTTGTAAACAATGGCTGTTGGAGCGTGTTAACTGTGTCAAGTCAGTTTGAGAATAAGATTGTCTAGTGGGTATCTCTGAAAATGTGTATTAAAGATTGTCGAATACTTTTGTGTCTTCCCCACCCCTTTAAGTTGTTGTAGTACCAGAGAGCTTTAACATGGATGAAAAAGTCAGAATGTTTCCTTACACAGTGAGTCTTAGTTTTACTTGCGTGTTAAAAGTTGCATTTCAGAGATGACAAGCCTTCCTGCTTGGGCTGCTAACTTCCTATGTGGTTAAAATGAAGGCAGCAGAAGATTATTGAACTTGTTTAATTAATTGGATAATTGGAACCTGTTAGGTAGACAAACAGCAGCATTTTTGAACTTTACATGATTCTCAATTAAAAATAAAGTGGGATAAGTACTCCAAATCCATTCTTCTATAAAACCTACAAAATAATGGGCAAAAACTGTGAGAATCAGCTTTTTTGCAGAACTCTACCAACTAACCAAAAACTTACAGCAGCCAGAGGAGCACATATTAAGAACAGTTACCTTTGTGACCTTTTAACTTAACCCTAGTATTGCTTGTTCCTCAAATGATTGGTAGCTTTAAACTTAACAGACTGTATTTTTGGTATTGGTACAGGGGGCACGATGAATTTCACTTACAAAGAATTGTAATTAACTTGTTTTGGCCTATGTCATGTGTCCTGGAAGATAGGCTCAAAAGTTTTGTCTTTATCTCACCCACCTAGGAACTTTTCTAGTGTTAAAATGACTACAGGTGGGTGTTTGTCAAAACATATTTACAAGCACCTGTGATGGTACATCCTGTAAGCTGAGCTTCTCTAGAAAACTGAGACAAGATGATTCAAGCTCCAAGCCAACTTGAGCAACATAGTGAGACCCTGTCTCAAAATAAGAAATAAAAGAGGATGCGAAACAGCAGAATGTTTGCCTAGCTTATGTAAGACCCTAAGAAGTTCAATCCCCAATATAGAGGAAAAAGAAATTATAAACATAAATACTAAATATTTCTGCTTGAGGCAAAGGACAATGGCTGGAATAAACAATAAACAATAGACTAACCCAGTCGAAATGAGAATCTTTGGGGAATAAGGGCTTTGAAGTTCTCTGGCATTCCTGGGAATCATGCATGGCCAGAGCTGTGTACACACTCAGCATAGACTTAAGAAGGTCCAAAGCTCACTCCTCTGGCTGGCCTTTAGGTTTGCAGGAGGAAGCGAAGGCTAGAACAGAGTTTTTTGCTGCCTGGCTGAGTAATGAAAATATGTTTCAATATGCAGAACCCATCTGCAAAGTCTGGGAGAAGTTTTTGGTTTCTAGAAAGTTACTATCTAACCACTAAACTAACAGCACAGAGACTTCAGTGGCTATGTGTGACAAAGAAAATAGATTTTACACAATTTAGAAAAGTCATTAAACAGCTATAGCATACCCTGAGAAGCAGAAATATCTGATTTCTAGATTTGCCGCATTACAATATTCAAAATGCCCACAGTTCTACTGAAAATTATAAGGAACAAGAAAGTAAAGCTGTTACACAAGAAATTAGTAGAACTTTCTCAAGGAAGCACAAACGTTAGATTTAAAAAAAGACTGCTTATGCTCAGAGAGCTAAGGAAACCAAGATAGATGTGTCATCAGGTAGAGTATCAATATAAAAATTATAAAAAGGAACTAAACAGATTCTGGAGCTGAGAAGTGTAATAACTTGATAAGAAATATCTAGATAGTTTCAGTAAATGGAAGATTTGAGTAGGCAGAAAGAATGAACTTGAAAGTTAATTTTAATGCTCAATTTGAAGAGCAGGGGGAAAATATGAACAAGCTTTTATTTTTTAATTTTTTTATCCCCCCACAACAAGCTTTTAGAGAACCGAGAAACATCATCAGTATATCAGTATACTCATCAGCATATGCATTGTAATGGAAGAGAGAGAAGGGAATAGAAAGTCCAAGATATTACGAGATGGGGCCTTTGGTGACTAGGTCATGAAGATAGAACTCTCATCACCCTTGAAAGAGTGATGAGAGTTCTTACCCTTCTACCATAGGAGGACACAATAAGAAGGCACTGTCTGTGTCAAAAAGCTGGCTCTCTTCACACACCAGATTTGTTAATGACTTGTTTGCTTCCAGCACTGTGAAGAATAAACAACCCATATGCTACCCAGTTGGTGGCATTTTAAAAAAATAGCCCCAAAAGGCTGAGACACTATTTGAAAAAATAATGCCTAGAAACATCCTGAATTTGATGAAAAACTACACATTTAAGAAGTTCAGCAAACTCTAAGATAAACTTCACACCAAGAAGTTTCATAATACATCTTAAAAGTAGAATCTTGAAAGCATCAGTGGAAGTAATTCATCACATTCAAGGATCCTTATAGCTGATTTTTCATTAGAGACTGTGAAGTCCAGAAGAAAAAAAAAAGTTGTCAGAGAATTTTCTATATCCAGCAAAACTATTTTTCAGAAATGTAGGAGAAATGTAGACAGACCCATATGAACAAAAACTGATCATTGTTAGCAGATCTGCCCTATAAGAAATGTTAAAACTTGTCAAGTCTAATTAAGGACATATTTCAACATCATGAAGAGGGAGTAGTTGGTGCTTAAGATGGTAGGTCAAGTGTATACTCAGTGGTACAGTTTTGAACAAAGGGAAAAGCTATTAAACATTTCTCATGAATACAAATTTATTGTCTATTTGATAACATCAAGTATTGGGTGATCCATGTTATTTAGTTAATAACCATGTTTATTTGTGGTTGTGACAATCTAAAGATCTTTCTATGATGGAATAATCAGAATAGTAAGACTTTCTAAAATAGTTTCATTCAACTTTCCTCAGCATTGTCTTTAATTCTCATTTTTTTCTCTTGTTAATTGTTTTTAACTTAGTAATTTTTAGTAAAAAGTAACAAGTTTTCTTTGGTGGGAAACTAAGTCTTAGTCTGCATTAATATGTAAAAACTAGCCAATTGCATTCATCTGAAAGGAGACAAACATGCATATAAGAAAATTTAGTGTGTGTAAAGTACAGGTTCTTTACATATTTATGGAGCAATTTTTATGAATATCAGTTAAATTTGAAATATGTAGCACAAGTTAATTTCTTTTAGGGGAAGGAAGCCAGCACCCTTTTGGAGCCATGAATATTGTCCGAACTCCTTCTGTTGCTCAGATTGGAATTTCAGTGGAATTATTGGACAGTCTAGCTCAGCAAACTCCTGTAGGCAGTGCTGCTGTATCCTCAGTTGACTCATTTACTCAGGTAATATGATACACATTTCATTCATTTATTGTTTTTCCCTTGCTTTATTAAGGTATAGTTATATAAACAGGTGATATTTTGATGCATGTTTACATTGTAAAATGATTAGATAAAGCTAGTTAGCATATCCATCACCTTGCATACTTTTTTTGTGTGTGAGAACATTTAAGATCTAATCTCTTAGCAAATATCAAATATACAATATATTATTTGTAAGTATAATCTTTATGTTGTACATACATTTTCTGCTCTTTGATTAATATCTCCCTGTATTCTTCCCCTCCAACCCTCAGCCCTTGACAGCTATCACCATTCTACTCTGCTCTTACCAGTTCATCTTTTTAAGTCCCACATTTAAATGTGATTATACAGTACCACATTTGTCTTTCTGTGGTTTGTTTCACTTAGCATAATATTGAGAGGGAAAAATTCGAAGATGTTGGAGAGTGGAGCATTACTGAAGCAGTATCTTTTTTTTCCCCTAGTGGTGGGGATCGTCAAACTCTAAGCCTGGTAAATGCTAGGCAAACACTTTGCCACTGAGCTACACCCCAAACCCTTAAAGTAATATCCTTGAGTAGAAGACAGGAGCACATGTAGAGGTGTCACCTTAGCTAGGATGATGTACTGCATATATGAGAAGGTTATAGAAGATCGTTAGAAGTGGTGACAACTTGTGTAGGCTCTCTTCTGATTCCTTCTCTTTCTTCAGTTAAATGTAAGGTCACCAGCTAAGATTGTGAGGAAAGCAGATATTGGAAATTTACAATAAAAGGAAGATATTAAATAGATGTTCTAAGAATAAGACAGTGAATGGACTAGGGAACACTTATGGATGGGTGTGTTGCACAGCACCACAGGCATGTTTGTATGTTGTCATGAATATAAAGTCAGATTGGTCATTTGATCTCTTGAAAATAGAGCAAATTAAAAATGACCAAGTCTGGGTCTCAAAAATATTATTTTCAGGGTCTGAGAATGTAACTCCATAGTAAAGTGCCTACTTACTTAGCTTACTTACTTAAATTATTTAAAAATAATTTAAAAAATAAACTAAAAAAGCAAGCTGTGAAACAAGACTTTTAGTATTCCATTTAGTATTTTAAAAGTGTCTGGGAAATATACCCCCTAAATGGTAAATTATCCCTGGAGAAACTTGAGAAGACTTTACTGTTATATGTTTATTAATTAAATTTTGAGCTTCATTCATAGCATATGTATTTTAATAAACATTTTAAATAAAATCTTTTAAATACATAGAGAGTAACATCTATTTCACAAGTATTTATTACATACCTACTCAGTGCCAAACATTTTCTAAGAACAAATAGATAAAAGGGGTAGATGAAATAAGTAACACCTGTCATAAATTCTCTTTGTGGCCAGTACATGCTAAGACTTCCAAGAACCTTCTGCCTAAATTTTTTTGTGTGTGCATGTTGGGAATTGAACCCATGGTTTTGTGGGGCATGCTAAGCATGTACTCTATCCCAAGACCCTGCTACTAATTTTTTTAAAAAGAAACAAAAAATTAAAGGTACATCCCACTGCTGTTTGTTTCTCTTCCTCTTTTTTATGTCTTAAGTAGCTATTCTTCTGCATCTATATATACCTTTCCAATTCATATTTCAGTACTTGTGTAATGCTATATGTGTTTAAGTGTAAACGTGTTTCTAATGTAACTACTTAGTTACTTTTATTTCATTTAAATTTTTATCAGAGTAGTATATGTACTTGGTTTACAAAGACAAATAGGTTAATTACACCTATCTACTTCTGTTTTGCTCCATAGGGAGTAATCACTATCTGCCACATCCTTTTTTTTTTTTTTAATCTATTTCTAGTGTTTATTATTTTCTTGAATCAGATAAAACTTGCTTAAAAATCTGTTATTTATTAACTTTTGTTATAGATGTTTTCTGTTGCCTTACCAATATGAAACATGGTGATTTTTACCTCTGCCTTGCTACTATATGCACACATATGCATGGTATACCACACACACACACACACACACACACACACACACACACTCACACACTTTCTCTTCTCCGCTTTGCCAGTATGGAATTTCAGTAAGATTCAAGGGCTGGGGACTTAGCTCAGTGGTTCTGGTGCCTGCTTCACAAGTGCGAGGGCCTGAGTTTGATCCCCAGTACCAAAAAAATTAAGATTCAAAAGAAGATTAAAATTTGTAATATTATTACTAGGTAAATAATATTCAGAATTTAGCCATGTGTAGTCCAATAATTACATTTTTTTTCTTGTATAACTTTTCATTTGTTCTCATAAGTAAGTGCCTCATATTTTTCTTTTGTATAGTCTTTGTGTTTCAGATCCTGATTTGTGCTCAAATTCTGCTGAGTATAAATTCTTTCTCAGTATATTTAAACAGATCAGTTTCACATTTGTCCTAGAATTATCCCACTAGGAACTCTGTTCTGTTGTTCCCTTGTGGACTGATTATTTTCTGGGTTGTAGGGTGGTTGTATTCAGGGTGTTACTTTCTTTCTGTAATGACTACAAAAATTCCTTTCTCTTCTGCATTGAATCCTTTGTTTTCTGCTTCCTTAATTTTTCCTGTTTTAAAAAATATTTTTTCTTTTTAATGTATGAGATATGACTGAAAAACACGATAAGTGCTTAACATTTTAAAAATTTGCTGCAGTAAAAATGCTGTTACCCTCCTCGAAATGCCACCCTTTCTCTTCAAATATATTTATCCTATCAATATTGCCACTTTCTGAAGCAGTTCTGAAGTCCTCTTTTGTGTTTTCATTTGTGTTGCATGGCAGCGTTGATGTCCTAAATCAATTAAAAAATAGTTTACCTTTTGTAGTCATTTTGACGTGGGGGATAATCAGAAGTCACATGTGAATAAGGAGGATGAGGACATATCATTATGTTTTTATGATCCTGGCTTTGTAAATTAGATTGCATTTGAAAGTGGCATATTTTTTATCACACCTTGTAAAGACATTCATGAAAGAGGACTTCAGAAAGTGGCAAAAGTGATGGGGTATATTTGAAGGGAAATATTTTGAGAAGAATTGATGGCAATGTCTCTTTCTTTTACTGTAATACATTTTTAAAAATTTAATTTGCAATATATTTTGATCATTTCTTATATTCTTTAACATTTAAAAAACAAATATAAATAGTACTATATCATACAACTTGCTGTGGTAACTCAACATTATTTTTAAGATTTTCTCTGTTGAGTCATGGAATAGTTATAATTTGTTATAATTGTTATACAGTATACCATTGTATGAATGTGCCAGTTTTTTAAAATGTTGATTGATGTTCATATATTCTCACTAATATTTATCAAATCTTAAAATTTCTCCAAACTGTTAGGTGAAAATTTGTTATTTTTTTTAATTGAGTTTAGGTATTCGGTACAGTTACATTCATTATTGGGATCTTGTACCTTTATATGACAGATCTTGGTTCTCATTTTTTCCCCTTGTTGAAAATTTGAATTTCATGTTTAATTTGTATTTTTCATTACTAGTGATAATGGAACATCTTTCACATTTTGGGCTGTATTTGTTTTCTTTTATAGGAATTTAACATATTTTGTGTATTTTTTTTTCAGCTTTAATTGAGTTTATTGGTACATTTTAGGGATACAGTACAATTACATTCATTGTTGGGATCTTGTACCTCTACATGACAGGTCTTGATTCTCATTTTTTCCCCTTACCCCTGCCCTCCCTTCACCCTCTCCTCCCCTCCCCTCCATTTACACATCCCTACCCATCCCACCTTCCCTACACCTTTAGCTCCTTTCTTCACATTTCTAAATGTCAGTAATCTTATTAGGATCTTCTGTATTATTGCAGATTATTCACACCAGGGAAACGATTCGGTATTTACACATGTGTGATTTATTTATTTCACTTAGGAGTATATTTTTAATTGTATTTTGGTAGTTTTTTTTAATTTTAGCTTTTTGGAACAAGGCCTTTGGGCTGGGGATTTACTTCAGTCCATGCATAGCACCACCTGCCTGGAATGAGGGCTTTGTGTATTCTAAATAATTATATTTTGTATATAAATTGCAGTTTTTCCTAGCATGTTCCTTATCTTTTTCATATTACTCATGGTATCTTTTTCATTCAGAAACATTTTTATGTTGATGAATTTATTTCCTTTATGATTTGTGAGGGTCTTTACCCTTCCTATGTGTGAAGTGTGTGTGTGTGTGTGTGTGTGTGTGTGTGTTTTAAGTCTTAGGCTTTACTTTATTATGTTTGTGTATGGTATGGAAGGGATTTAAGTTCACTTTTTTCCCTCATGGAAAACTAGGGGTCCCAAAGCCCATTATTTGAATAGTTACCTCTATTTTTTCCTCCCCAAGTAATAACTCCTTTGTTCTATTTCATATTGTCATATATTCTTAGGTTTTATTCTGGGCTCTCTTCCTTCATCTTAGTTTATTTGCCAATAAGACTTAATATCTAGTAGGCCAAGTTCTTCCTCCTACTCATCAACATAGGCCTAGTATTCTTAATTTATTCAGCTTGTTGAGTTCCATGAAATTGTATTACCTTGTAAAGTTCTGTGAAAAACCTTATTGAAATTTTGTTGGAAGTACCATTGAATTTATAGAGGTTTAATTTAGGGAGAATTGGCTCCTTCTTTTCCCCTCCCCTCTTCTCCTCTTCCTTTCCTTCCCCTTCCTTCACCTCTCCTCACTTCTTCTCTCCATCCTTAAGCTCTATGCCAAGAAAAGGAATTTTTAGAGATGTTTACTGTTTTTTTGTTTTTGTTTTTAAGGCGGGGTCTCATTATGTAGTTCAGTCTGGACTTGAACACACTATGTAGTCTAAGCTGGCCTCGAATTCACATCAGTCTTCCTTCTTCAGCCTCCTGAGAGCTGGGATTATTTTAGTCTAAATGGAATATTTAATATAACCCATTAATCTGTCAATTTTTAAACTTTTCAGTTCACACAAAAGATGTTGGACAACTTCTACAATTTTGCTTCATCATTTGCTGTCTCTCAGGCCCAGATGACACCAAGTCCTTCTGAAATGTTCATTCCAGCAAATGTGGTTCTGAAGTGGTATGAGGCATTTTCTATCTCAAATATTAAGGTTTTTAGTAATTGTATATATTTTTTGTTTGCAAATATATCTCTTCTAAGTTTTGATCAAAAGTAAAATGTGTATAGGGCCTGCGGAAGTTTTTACTGCACTCTGAATCCAAATGACTAATACATCTGTTTCCCCAGCTTCTTCTTGTTTTTCTTTTATAGGTATTTTCTTCACTTTGAAAACATATGGTTGGGGATGTTAAGGATGTTTTTGTTGAGAAGTGCTACCTTGGAGTAGCACATATAGCCCTGGAATATCTTAGTTTTGAGCTTTATCAAAAAGTAGCTCTATGACAAGCAAATTACTTTCATTTGCTCATCCATGAAATGAGAGAATTCCATTTTATTTTTTTAGGTCCTTTCTAGCATTCAAATTTTTAGAAGATAAATAATTACTAAAATTATACCATGTGAGCTCTCTAAAAGGAAAATGTTTCTTAAACAACTGTGCTTGCAATCTCTTTATAAGTAATTAAATTTCTAGATTAGGTTTTTTATCTTAGTTTTTGAAAACTGTCATGTAAAATTGTTTGTGAGATAAGTCATTTTATAGATTATGAAAGATCGTATTTAAATTTTCATATAAATACATGATCTTTTTTTTTCTAGGTATGAAAACTTTCAAAGACGACTAGCACAAAACCCTCTCTTTTGGAAGACATAATTTGAATAAAATAATTTTTAATGGATTTTGAGATTTGTCATGTTTTAAAGATGAATGAATCCGTTTAAAAACAAGTCAAATGGATCATGAAGCCTAAGTGTAAAAATAGTTTAGTGACTTATTGAAACCTTTATTAAAATTTTTTAAATATTGAAAAATTAAAATATACCTATTACTAATGACTTTTCCATCACAAGCTTAAAATACTGCTCAAAAGACAAACATTTTGTTTCAGCCATCATTCATTTTTTTACTTAAAAATAAAGCCTGTTCATAATAATACTGAAGACTAAGCAATTGCATGTATAATTTTTCACTTATTTTCATGGTAGTTTGCTAGAGTAGTTAATGTTAAATCAATGTCTCAAAATTGGAGAAATTTTGAAAAATATCAATTACACATTTTTAGATAGCAAAAAAAATGCACTTTTGTTTAATAAAACTGCTATGATTACTAGTACTTTCTTGCATTGTGAAAGTTTGGTAGACTTATATTTTGTATATTTTATTCAAGATTTCAGTTTTCCCCTGGTATTTTTTCAGCACCATTGAAGGCTAGACCATTATCTTCTGGAGTGATGACCAATTCAGATGTGTATTGCTATTTGCTGGGTATTGATGGTGCATCAAGTTTTCAATGGTTAGTGATTATCGTTCACATCCTTTGGTTAATGAATGATCATTGTTGAACTGTGACTTGACAGTGGCTGCACAGCAGCATTTAATACTCTGGACAGAAAGAGCCAGTCCTTTGTAATACATTTAATAGAAGCAAAATGATTACTCTTATAAATAGAGTTTATACTCCATGAATTTAGATCAACAATGTAGATTACCAAGCTACACAAACATGTTCCTTTGTCCAGCTAGATCTATTTTATATAGCCACATTACCATTTCTTATAACATAGTCAAAAATCTGTTCCATTTGTCCATTGATTGTTTTTCATAGAAATATAAGAGGAAGTTTTAATTAAATAGAAACAGTTCCTTAGCTTGCTAAGAGGAAGTGGAAGATTGTGATTGTCAATTACAGTCCTGGGTAGTGAATTTAAACTGGTTTTTTGGGCTTCTAGAGCAGATGATGAGAGTCAAACTTGAACTACCTTATCTATCTACACAGAAGTGTTTTTTACACTGTATGAACAGAGTAAGTTATCACTTCTTGGAGCTCTGAAGTAGCCTATATTTGCTTTATTTTTTTACTTAATTTTGGTTTTTTGAGAGAGGATCTTGCTCTGAAGTTTAGCTGGCCTTGAACTCACTCTGTAGCCCAGTCTGTCCTCAAACTTGTGGCAATCTTCCTGCCTCAGCCTCTTGAGTGCTAGGGCCACAGGCATTTGCTACATGCCCAGTTTATATATGCTTCATTTTGGAGGTGCCTGGTTATCGCTTGGGGAAAATGGTAGACTGGACAGAATGTTTCATTTTTTATTTTTTGGTGCTGGAGTTAAACAGGACCTCAAACATAGGAAGCATGCACTCCATCACTGTTCTACACTCCCAACCCCAAACTTTGGCTTTTTTTTGTTGAGACAGAGTTTCATTATGTTGTCCGGTTTATCCTCAAAGTCATGATCCTTCTACCTCACCTCAGACTCATGAATAATGGATTATATGTGTATACCAGTGCACCCAGCTCAAGAAGAAAGTTTAAAATATCTGAAAATCTCTTTAACAATTATTCTATCTATACAAGTAAATTTTTATGTAGAATGCAGATGAAACCCTGGTGTTGACATAAGTAATTCCTAGTGGGTTACAGAAAATATAGGGAATATAAATATCATTTATCTTTGATACACCAATCTACGTACTTTGTTATTGTAGCCCAAGCTAAGATAGTACCAAGGCAAAATAAAAATGTACTCATAAAAACTTGTATATGAATGTTATAGAATTATTCATATCAGCACAAAAGTGGAAACTGATGACCTTCAACTGATGTGTGCATAAAATGTGGTATATTCACACAATGGAATATTGTTAGCAATAAAAAAGAATGAAGTACTGAACATGCTGTCAAATGGATGGAATCCTGAAAATGTATGCCAAATGAAAGAAGCCAGTTATAAAAGATCACATAGTGTGACTCCACTTATATGAAATATCTCTAAAATATAACTCAGAGATAAATAGACTAGTGGTCACTTAGGGGTTTTGGAGGTTAGAAGGTGAGATTAACTACTAATGAGTATGAGGCTTCTATTTAAAATTTTTGATGCTTGTGTAACTAAAAACAATTTAGATGGATGAATTGTATGGTATGTTATATTGTAAAGGTTTTTTTTAAAGATTAGATGGTTGAAAGCAAAATGTATACAAAAATGGAAAAATAAAGAAATGCAAACATTAAAAATTATTTGATTATAAGGCTAAAGTGGAAAAGTTTTATAGCAATCTTAAGACAGTGGTTCTGTCTTTAATAAAATTATTAGCTGTCAATTTTAAATTCATAGTAGCCCAAAAGTAAGGTAACATTTCCACATTGGGAGTTTGATATTACAAGTACAAGAAGAACCAGAAAGTAATGATAAACAGAACCTATTAGAGATGTTGAAGTCAATTTATAAACTGGATATTACTATAGTTTGGATCTTAAACATCCCCCAAAAGCCTAATTGGTAAAGGCTTGCTTGCTGGCCTGTGTCACTGTTAGGAGATGGCATCTTTGGGAAGTGGGGCTAGTGGAAGAAGGTTGGGTCACTGAGGGTGCACCCTTTGAAAGGGATATTGGGACTCTGGCCCCTTCTCTTTCCTGGCTACCATGAGGCAAGCAGATATCATAAACCCATGCAACAGAACCAGAAAACCATGGACTGAGACCTCTTATGCTCTGAGCCAAAATAAACTTTTTTCCCTTTTAATTTTTATCTCAAGTATTTTGTCTTAACAAGAAGTTTTTATGTTTTTAACTATTCATCAGCTATCATGCATAAAGTTGGAACATGTACGTGAGCTAACTTCTTGATGGGCAAAGTACCCAAGATAAAATAATAAAGGAAAATAAAATTGGATGGATATATCTTCAAAACTATGAAAATATAGAATTTATAACTGTTATTCATAACTTAAAATTGCTAATAAAGTTTCTTAATACCCTTTTATTGGGCTGGGGATTTAGCTCAGTGGTGCTACTGCCTGCCTCGCAAGAGCAAGGATCCGAGTTCAATCCCCAGTTAAAAAAAAAAAAAAACCCTTTTATTGTTTTGTTCAGTAAGTTATCTAAAAAGTGGCTTAGAGAGCTGAGTATGGTAGCCCATTTCCATATTACCAGCTACTCTGATGGTTGAGGCAGAAGAATCCAAGTTAAAGGCCAGCGTGGGCACCTTAGTGAAACCTTGTCTCAAAATTTTAAAAATGGCTGGGATGTAGCTTAGTGGTAGAGTGCTTTCCTAGCATGTGTGAGGCCTTGGATTCTCCCAGTACTGGGTAGTGGGCTGGTGGGTGGCTTATTAACATTAAAAATGGTTTGGTGGACAAAGGTGATAATTGTAATTGTTGACTTTTTCCTAGTATACTGAAAGCAGGCGTTGTTGGATTGTTTCTTGCCTTTAGGTATTTTTATTTTTATCTCTTCTGAGAGGTTGTATAATTTTGCCTTTCCCAAATTTAGTATAATAAGACTGTGAAGATGTTTTGTATGGCTATAAATGGTGGTGGGTTTCTTTTACCTTATGGATAATAGGAAGAATTTGTTTGGCATTCTTCAGATTTTAGATAATCTAAAACTTGAAATGCAAGACTTTGAGCAGTTTTTGCATACCATAGCTACTCTGAACCGTCCAAATAATACAGTAGAGTATATAATGACTCTTCCTTTAAACTCATGGGGAATTCAGTTTCTTCCCCAAAGTCCCTTCTTATATTGAATTTTTCTCATATCATTAACCCAAATCTTCATTCTTGTAAAGACTGGATTTTTACCCCAATTCAATAAAATACTTTTGCCAAAATAAGTATAGCACTCAGTTGACCCAGGTTCACCCAGAGAGGGGACAAATGCTGGAGTTATTTTTATTCAAGAGGGCGTTATTTAATTTCTGTAGTTATGAAGTCTTGTGGTTTCTTTTGCCATTGATTTCCAATTTAATTGCGCTGTGGTCTGATAATATGCATGAGATAATTTCAATTCCTTTGCATTTACTTAAGCATGTTCTATAACTTAGTATATGTTCTATTTTGGAGAACATCCTTTGTGCATCTGAGAAGAATGTGTATTCTGATGTTGCGGGGTGGGACACTGTTAACATCTTCTAAGTCTATTTGTTTGAAAGTTTGGCTGAGTTCTGATATTTCTTTGTTGATTTTTTTTGTCTATTTGATCTATTTGTGGCAGTGGGGTATAGAGGTTTTTTAAAATTCTATTAGCACTTATTTGGTTTTTCATGTCTGTTTATATTTGTTTTATATATTGGGTGTGCTGGTACTAGGTGCATATATATTTATGATAGTTATCTCTTCTCTTGGATTATTCCCTTTACAAGGATGTAGTGACTTTCTCTGTCTATCTTAACCAGTCTTGGCCTGATGTTCATTTTGTCTGCAAATAAAATAGCTCTATCTCTGTTTTGGGGGGGTTCCCATTTCATATTGTTGTCTATATTTTGACTTTCAGTCTATGAATTTCTTTTTTAATTAAATATGTCTTGTATATGCAGCATATTGTTAGATCTTGCTTTGACAGTTTGTTTCTTTTGATTGGTGCATCGAGACCATTTAGAATGATGGTTATAACTTGTATGTATTGACTTATTCTTGTCATTCCTTTTTTCCCCCTTCTGTTCAGCTGTTTGCCTTGCTTGATGGATTCATTCTGTTGAGGTTCGTGGAGTTGTCCTTTTTGTCTTTTTCTAGAATGTCCTTCAGAACATTTTGGAATGCCGCTTTGGTCATTTCTTCAGGTGTTTTTTTATCATGGAAGTATCTTATTTCTCCAACATTTTTGCAAGATAGTTTTGTGGGGTACATCAATCTGGGTTAGAGGTTGTTTTCTTTTAGGGATTGAAATACTTCAGTCCATTCATTGCTTGACTTGACG